TAGTGCCCCCATTGCAGTGGAAAATTTCTAACACCAGATCAATCGCATCATAACTGTAAGTGTTCTAATTTATAAACCTGCAATGTCTACTCCTAAGAAGGCAAGTAAAAATCTGCGTGACTTAAAAGAAGAAAGATAATGGGGAAATTCAGAAAAACTAGCGACTTCTCACTAATATTACAGCTACGCGAAAACAGCACCTATATCAAGCGCTCACAAAGGAAACGGATTGAAAAGGAAGAGGACAAGTCCTTGCAGATGACATGCAAAGGAAAGGAACTGGCCAAATTACTCCGTCATAGGACCAACAATCGGATGTCTTTGATTACGGAACTGATTGCTTGGGAGGGTCGCCACTTTAAAGACCTACATGAAATTTGTGAAGCGTTTAGCTCTTTGTTCATTGCTTCCATGAACGTAGAAACCGACCCATACGTTGCTGCCTGGAACTTACAACAAGTGTCATACATAATGTTGAGATTTCTCTTTTGACCATCTAAAAGGCTATGAAGTCCATCCAACTATTGCTGAATTCAGACTCCAACGGGATCCCCCATCAGATACTAAACGCGTTGGACCTGACATACCACTGCTTTTGCTGAACAGGTTCACCTTGCTGTTAGAATTTATCTAGTTTCTTGATCAGTGGAATACATCGTTTATTGTCTCTCGTCATAAACGGGAGTCCAAACAGCACGCCACTGATTATCGACCTATCCATCATACTACTGTCATCGCTAGATGACTCTAAAAATTAATTGAAAGTGGAAGCATGAACTTTGTCCATCATCATGGGCTGCTTAACAAATCCCAGCATGGGTTCCTCGATAAACGTTCCTGTTCAACATGTCAGTTGCACTACCTGGATTATATCACAGAAGTCATTGATTCGAAATATGCAGTTATAATACTGTTCCTGGATATGCAAAAAGCGTTCAGCACAGTTCCGCACAAGCGGCCACTGAAAAGAATCGAGTCGTTTGGAATCAGAGGCCCATTATTTGATTGTTGAAATCATAATTAAATAGGTGTTACCAAATAGTCACTCTTCCCCATGTGCAATCACTAGTGATGTCATCCAAGGGAGTGTACTTGGTTCCATCGCTTTTCCTACTCTGTATTAACGATATCACGGTGTGGATAGAACATAGCAGGCCACTATTGTTTGCCGATAACATGAAGAATGTTTAGAAATTTCGACGAGATGAACTACGTAGCGTAATGCTGCTTGTTCAAAAACACCTTGATTCACTTGAGAAATGGTGGGACACACGGATGTTAAATTCTCAGCTAGTAAATCATGCATTATGTCCCATCGATGTTTGATCGCTGGAGAGTCAAACTGAACCATTAACGTATCTGTGTGAAACGATCCAACTGGGATCTAGGCGTTCCATTCTCTTCAAACTTGGATTTTCCAGAGCAGACTGAGTAGCATTTAGCACGTATCAAACGATCTGTGGCTAACAGATGCCATAAAATCCATACAATCCCTGTCAGATTCGAGCTTTTCAAAATACTTTCACTTCCTGTACTTGAATGCTGTAACATAATTTATAGGAACATGCGTATGGGTGACAGGAAAACTATCGAAATCCTGCAAAGATCATTAACTAGGCAATTATTCAGTAATTCAACCACCTTGTATTATCAGGAGCGATGCCAGCAGCTTAAGATCGAGCCCCTTGCTTGTGACGATTGCAACCTAACCTGATGCTAATACACAACACCATAAGCCAAAAGACATACTCCAGTTTGTGCACACTATAACTGCAATGTAACTTCACCAAAAATATACTCAACGTGACCTGTAAATTAACTGTGCCAAGAACCAGGACAGCTATCCTAGCCAACCCCTTGGACGTCAAATACGCTGTCGTGTGGAATAGCCAAGCAGCTACAATCAGGTCTTGCATAAATGTGACAAAATTCCGCATCCAGCTTAGTAAATTCTTAGACCAGAACTCCATTATGACTGTGTTCACATCGTATAAATCACCACAAGTCCTTGCAGGATTGACCAACGAATATCTAACCGATGAGAAAAGATGGTACACAAAACTCAGCAACAATAAAAGTTACGTGATTCCAAATTATTTTGATATCGCACACCTCAGAATCCATGTCTCACTCATGCATGAGCATGATCATTATTGCACTCTTGATCTATCCACAATCCAGGAGCCTCTTCTAGCACATGCAGGAAATACGCGCACGATTATTATTATTAATTGTAGAATTATTAGTATTGTTATGGGCCTGCCTATAGGGCAAGTGCGTCACTCCGTGGTTGCATGTGAGCTAAAACTAGAAGATAAACGTCTATCAAAGCATGGTGGGGTAGGGCCAAGAATTGGGGGTTGAAAACGGAGGTGAATGAAAGTGAAGTTGGAACGGGGCGATAAGGGTGAAAACGCGGAAGAGGGAGAATAAAAAAGGGAAGGCTTGAGTAGTAGCATCCACCCTGCTCGATGCAGCAGATAGGGCACCGTTAATTATTCTCTGTAGCGACCAGCGCATCAAGAAATAGTTTGAAGGAGTTATAGTTGTTTGCGTGGGCAGAATACTGTAAGGTTGCGTATGCCTTGACAGGAGAAAGACTAGGGTTTTCAACCAAAAAGGTGACCGCAAGGTTGCGGGTTTGTCGGTGGATTACACTGAGTCACTTTCAAGAAATAAAGAGCCACCCTCATTCCAACCCTCAACCTGGAGGGCCAGGGGATTGCGTTTGTCTGGCCTCCAACCATTGACTAATCTGGTATGAGTGGCTCTAAAGGTGGAAAAGCAATACCTAACATAGCCCACTGGATCGCTGACACCGCAACCCATCGTACCACGGTAAGTTCCAGCAGCATTCAAACTAACCCCAAACTCAAGCATTAACCGTTGTGCCAAGCAAGAACCCGTCGTGACCCGGTGGCTTATGGTAACGGTCAGGACTAATATATCAATGTTCCCGGCTTTGATTCCTGCTATATCCATCTTATGAGAACAAACAAAATCGAAACTCGCACTGGTGTGCAGTGTTTTCAGGGGGGGGGGGAACAAACAATTTTCATCCGCTTTGGCTCGTAATCAAATGATCAACGAACACTTCATTGGGAAGCGCGGTCGACAAGGAGATAGCGCGTCGCAATCAATTCACATAACGTGTACTTCAAAATGACATCAAAATCAATATTTTGAGTTGATTTGATTAGATTTTACTTAGGTGACTACACATGCAATATGGCCCTGTTAGCAGGAGTTCGCGGAGTTGAAACGGCCGTGGTGTGATCAACCGAAGCTACGGAATACTGTAGGTGTGTTAAATATTTTCTTTCCCACTTAACTACGTGGTCCCAACGGGTCATAAGCAGTTCATTGCTACTTTGTTTCTCTCTCTCTTTAAAGTAGAGAAGCTACAAAGTGTATGTATTTATATTTATTCACAGTCTGTTAACAGACATTGTGCCATCAGAACCATGGCAGAAGAAAAAGGTGAAGAAGATGGGGACACTAATGCGATTAAAAAAATATGGGAAACGAATTTTTTTGGTTTTACACACGCCATTTTGTATTTTTTGTTTTGTTTTGTGAGTTTTTGTGTGTATCAAAGGGATGATGAAATTGCGGAACAACATTGCCGGCACTGATGTCTGTTGCGGGCCATGACGTCCAATGTTTCCAACCACTGCAATTCAACATCTCGTGGTCCCCAACCTGGAAGGCGGACTGGTCCGACTGCTGCCAAACTTGAGGTCGCCTTCTTCATACTCCTTCTCCACGTCATCGGCTGTCCACCGCGGCACTTTTTCCAATCGCTCCCTGGGAGTGCAAATAGCGCTCGACGTGGAAGGCGATGGGCTGGCATGCGCAGAACATGCCCGAGCCAGCGCATGCGATGTCGGAGAATAACGTCTTGAAGACTGGCACCATTCGCCCCAAGCACGCGGTCTCTCACCTCTGCGTTGTTTACGTGGTGTTGCCACCACACCATAGCAATCCTTCGTAGACAGCGGTTATCAAAGACTGATAGCCGCTTCATATCTTCCGAGCGAATAGGCCAAGTCTCACAGCCGTACAAGAGTACTGCACGGACGGAAGCATTGTACACCCTGCCCTTGAGCTTGAGAGTGACATCAAGACGACGCCATAGATGTCTCAGTTTGATGAATGCAAGGCGGGCCTTTGCAATCCGTTTTGAGATTTCATCTCCAACACCGCCACCAGCCGTGATGCAACTCCCTAGGTATGTGAAGCAAGGGACTTGCTCTTTGCTCGGACGACAAGCCCTGTTTGGACCACCTACAGCTTGTTTGCACGCAAAGCTGGCTAGGTTAACGCGTAGTTCTGCACCTTTCGGTGCATAATTTGATTGTTGGGAGTGCAAAACATTGCCACATGAGTGGGCTCACATTCCATCAGTTCTCGCAATCATGGGACAGCAATTGGAAATGATTGATAGGTTCACTTAGTTAAGTATCTGTATCGCACATAGCTGGCATATTATACATGAGGTTTTCATACCATTACCGTGGCGTTATTGACATTTTGTCCCTTTATGTCTAACCCTCAGAGAGTCCAGCTGGCGTGTTCACTACTTGTTTACTATTTGTCATAATTATTATCTTGAATATGGGAGTCAAGCTAACTGGATCAAGCGCGATTCGGTTCACGACGGAATTCCTCACAGTTCATTACCAGAGTAGAAAGTATTCGTCAAACTCTATTCATGGATTTTGTTAGCAATCGGATTGGTTGCGTGAACTGGCAGTCACTGGTTAGTGTTTTGATTGCAAAGTGATAAATACCTGAAAGTATTCCAGAGCCGCAACTAAAATAATCCAGGACTATACTATGGAATGATCGGAGAATAGTCTCATTAAAATGAACTGGTGGAATCCAGTAGCAATTTTGCCTGTGTGAGCAGTTGCCCGGTCTTCGCGAAAGCCATCAGCAATCATGGGTTTTGCTTATCTCGGCCATATGAAAAATATTGACTGGTTACCCATGCTTACCTGAGTTGGGAGTTCAGCAAGCACCTCCTTGGCCAAACCGACTTTACCCCATCGTAGACTTTCGGTACCATCTGCTGCCATGCGAAGAAATCGCCGCATTTCTACAAACTGAATGGTCAAATGTGCATTAAACTACTAACAACGGGTTATGCATGGTGAAGTAGTTTCACCTGCAATAAGAAAAAAGTGTTCACCTTTTATTTCATGCTATCTAATTTATTGCAATTTAACTAACTGGTTCATTATGCATGGTAATCTATAGATGGAATGATATGAGTGTACCTTACCCAAACACAACGATTACGATTCAATCTGTTTGACAAATGCTGCTCACTTACTGAAGTAGCGCATATATGCTCAATGGAACATATTAAACAGAAAATATAAGTACATTCTTACCACCAATTTGTGTAACAAGAAAGTAAAACCCCGCGCCTGTCAATAATCCATGTGCAACAATGGCTAACAGATTGTGAAATTGCTTTATGTAGTAAACTGGAGAAATCAGCGTGCATCACCGGACATCGATGGGCAAATTATTGGAAGAAAGTGGCCTGAAGTTTACAACATGATTTAAATGAGAATAACTTGCGGGGGAAAACACAAAATATATAATTTATGGGGATGTTTGACATGGTCTGCCACTTTTAACGGCATAGTCGCAATTGCTGTCATTTATAGATTGATTTGTGATCCCGGTTTAAAAATATTCGGGTCATCGAGGATGGCTCAGCACATAGAAAAAACATGCAGATGGAAAATTTCTTTCTCGAGTAATCATGGAGAATGAGAATTCAGTGGCGCATATTTTGCTAGATTGAATATTATTCTGTGTTAAATGACCTCCACCGTCCTCCACTTCCCCAGTGTATATCAACGAAGGAATAGCGTATATCTTTTCGTTGCTAATCTTTTAAGCCAATTAACATTAGGAATAACCGGAAAATAATGGGCCAAATGCCTGGTACTCAGATAGTTTTCTAAACATTCGGTTGCTTCATTGTTTCAGCTGAATTCAATTTGCTAAATTTCAGGTGCTGTTTTACATTAGCGTGTTTATTGCAGCCCGTTGCAGCAAGAAGAAAATACAGGGACTGCTACTTCACGAGTTGGGTGCCGTCTCATCAAACCGTCGATTAGAAAACTGTATTATTTGACTATGGGCATTGAGATAAAATTTGATACTTAAATGTTTCTACATATTAAACCATAATCTCGGGCAGTTTATGCCACGTGGCTTGTCTCATGTAGACGAATGGCATGCAGTTTTCCAATATTCACATATTGTAATATAAACTGCGGGTGGTGCGGCTCACAAAGCCAAACCAGGGGCAGCTATAACTCACGGAGCGCATAAGGATGGTACTTCAACTAGACAAAATCCGAAATCTCACTCTCGAGATCCCCATCAGAACTCATTGTACGGTGTAAAATAGTGGAAGTTGGAATCTCAGAATCAAAATAGTTTAAAGTAAAAATGCCGAGCAATCGCTTGTGTTTCAAACTGCAAATAAAAATCTGCCAGTTGCATAAGTTTGCGATACAATACTACACGCAAACTGGTCTCAAGGATTAGTAGTCTCCTAGTGCAAGCCGTGTGGTCGGACCAAGTTTGTTGTTGCCATCATGCGATTTGAAGCTGTGCATTTGACGTTTAAGAAAACTGTGTAGAAGTTGGCTGGAAAACACCCGAGAATCTAGATAACTTAAAGCTTCGGAGTATAATAAAGAAAATACGGTCTTAAAAGTTAGACTTGGAGAATCCGCTGGTGGTTGGTTGCTACAAGCAACCTCTATTGAAACCTCGGCTCACTTGAGGTGGACCTCGGTCATTCCGATCACAAAGACCGTAATTAAAATGGAAACATTATAGTGTTGATCATCCCAACACTGGCACCCCAAGACCGCGGTTTCGTCCTGGTTGGGACTCATCAGTTGGAGATAGCCTGAATTGGGCTGGAACTCAGAGGCTAGTGGCTCATGGTTGACGCCATAATCAACCAGGGAAAAACCGCGGTCTTGGGGTGCCAGTGTTGGGATGAGCAACACTATAATGTTTCCAAAATACGGTCATCTTCCAAGTCGATTCAATGTAAGGCAGACTCTATGGTTAAAATCTTTCCATAATAGAGTTTTTCTTGGATATCCCTGCTAGCTAAAGTCGCGATATTGTTTGTTGGTTTCTATCGTCAGCATCCCCCATTTGGTCCAGTATCAGCAGCGACGCACAACCTACTTATCTGCACGCTGAAGTAAGTGTAGTTTCTAAAAGGAATGACCATAAAATTTAATAGATTCCATATGAAAAATCTTGGTGTTTTTTGGTGTCAAGTGATTGGTTGCGATTGGCAAGATGGGTTTAAAAAGTTAAAATAATTTTTTGCCTAAAAGGTTTATTAAGATGAAGAAAAGTAGCCATCTATTTTCTCATCTCTTTATGATGTACTCTGATGACGGTGTAGCTCTGGAAAACGTCAAACACACCTAGTCGTTATCAAGCTGTAATGAGAAAAATATTAAATACTACAGGTAAACAAGACTGATGAGGAAAAATGGTGCCTAGTTGACGCCTAGTTGGCTGGACCAGTTAACTTTACTTTGTAGAAGGGGTGCTTCAGTGATTTGTCCTACCTTTTTACATCCAGTTAATGTAATTGGGCAACTTAAACGTTTCTTGAAAAAATTAATGTGGACCGCCAGCGCTACTGCGGATTTTAGCGGAACGTATTTGGGTTTGATATGGAAGATTTTATGGAGGATGATACGAGTTTGTATTCAATTGACCGCCTAAAACGCGCGGTTGTACCATGCCAGTGACGGTATACAATCATCTGTGTAAAGTAGGAACTAGAAACTCGGTACTAGAGGCGTCGACAAATTGTCAGTCGTCAACCATAATTCCAGATATCTTATGCCCATATATATATATGCAATGTAATTACTAGTGAACACGATTTCGAGCATTTATGTTTGCGTTCCCAACAAGATGTGCTTGCAGTCCGAGTGTTTCAGATACTCAACTGTATTCGAATTCAATGTTAACTAGTTAACAGCTCGTAGTCAATTTTCGCTCTATTCGCCATTCCTGGAATCCCGACAGCATCGGGTAAGTATACGAACATTAGCAAGAGGCAAAGTGCTAACAGATTATACTATTCAGTCGTCGCAATGACGCGGCCTCAATCATCATCACCAAAAAGATTTTACTATTGTACGCTGACGATGCTCTTAAGGTATCGGTGCTTATAAATATAGTGTATGGATAACGATTTAGCACCGATAAAACACACGTATTTGTCAAAATAAGTTGGATGGCCGGGTAAACAATAAACACTCAAAAAGCACGAGCGTCTACCGATTTAAATGCCGAAATTTAAATACTATTGGAGAATAGGAATTGAATGTACGCACACAAAGCCTTAGATATAGTTGAAGCATACTGCGAGTAAAATAAAAATAAAATGAAATCAATCGCTCATGCGCCTCTTTTTTGGATCGATGTGATACGTAAATCCAGTTTGGGTACATCAAAACCATATTCCACAATAGCAGCTTTTGGGTAACGAACTACAAGAAGTGAACCAGAGTTGTGCAATGAGACGACTTTAAATAGCGTTTAGTGCCGGGTGGTTCTTTACACGGATGGTTCACTTTGCACTTCCAGCGGCACTCATACCAGATTGGTCAGTGGTTAGAGACCAGACCAGCTTAATTCCACTGGCTCTCAAGGTTGTGCATTTGCACTCTTGTCTTTCGATTCCAACTTCACTTGTATCCTTTCTCTTTTAAATCCCAAGTTCTCCGCTCTCCCCCATCTGGATTCAGTGGTCGCTTGTTTTCTGGTTTCGACTCACGCAATCGAAAGGTGAGGCTCCGTTTCAGTCGACAATTCCATGTTCAACGAAATGGACAATATCAATTCATCCGTTGTTCTTTAACCCATTTTTAGGATGCCATTTAAAGTGCGCTTTAAAGAAGATGACTAAATAAATTTTAATTAATTTTCAAACCATAATTTCAGAAGGACAAAAAACCTTATTATTCCTGAATCATGTCGGCTAATACAAGTTGCGTAAGTAAAATCAATCCATAACTCACATTGTAGAACAGTCCTTTAACAGGACGTCATCAGAAATTGCGGTAAGGCCCTCGGTCATAGCTAAGGCCAGCCTGTCTTGAGGTGCACGCTTTATTGCAGATTGGATGACACGTAACATTTGTCCGAACACTGGAAAAATTATCAATGGATATGTGCAAGATCCCAGCTATGTGGTCATCATTTGACCCCTTAAAGGTTATGTTGGGGACATTTCCCATTTATCTTCTATGGAGATAAAACATTTTCGGATTGCGGTCAACTCGGCATATGCATTGCTGATAGTCCCAAGGGTAAGGCTCTTCTGATCTATCGGATCCAACTAAACGGCCGGATGCGCGCCGTCGGACTAACTGACTTGTTGAAAGCTTCGGATTCGAGCGGGGACAAATGGTGCCTGTTTGTCGTTGTTGCCTGCGCCTCACAACTTGTAGCCAGAACTCGGTGAAAGATGGCTTCTGTCATCAACTGAACGCGTCCTTCGTGGCAGCGAATGTAGTATACCTGGTACATGCTGATGGTCGCGCAATTCGGAAAACTGTCCACTGATGAGCTGTCCCTGAGCATTCAAAACTGGGTAGCCTCCGACAACGATAATCGTGAGCGGTTGTTGCACAGGTGCGAAGGTGTTGATAGATTTCTTGAGAGCATTAAATTTCGACCCCATGACCATCGACGAATGACCTGCCGCCCACCAGCCTGGGACTAACCAAGGACGCAAACCGATCACATCGCGAGCAATTACCGTTGGAGAAACTGTTCAAAACTGTCGCTCAATTTGGAGAACGAGTATGGATTCCGACAACGCAATTTCAGGTGCCAACCTGAGGTTGCGTTACGACGGAGGTCTACAAAAACGCTGTGGGCATTGATATTTGCTAACTGGCGCAGCCAGCTTTCTTAAATGCAAAGCAAGTTATGCTGGCATCCGAGCTGATTAGACGCCCATTGAGCACAGTTGTAGATCACTGGTCGCAAATCCGCCAATGTTAGTAGCAGCAGGCATGTCTTC